TGACATACTTTGGACATGTTGTAAAGAGAGACAGGTCCTTGGAGAGGAACATCATGCTTGGGTGGGTGGAGGAACAGCGCAGGAGGGGAAGACCCTCTATGAGGTGGATTGATTCAGTGACTGGGGTAATCGGGATGGGTGTGTCAGAGGCAGTGCAATTGGCACAGGATAGAGCACGGTTTAGGGCTGTTGTACATAGGGTCGCTATGAGTTGCAAACGACTCGACGACACATAGCAACAATAATAATAAAAATTTTTAAAACTTTTGTTGATCAAAAGACTTTATTTAGAAAGTGAAAAGACAACTTACCGGACTAAGAGAATATCTTGGAAACCACATATCTGGTAATCTAATAACTAAAATATATGTAAAACTGACAATTTAACAATAAAACAATAACCCTATATAGACATGCAAAGTACTTGAGTAGATATTTTACCAAAGAAGGCATTCAGAAGATCACCAAACATGTGAAATGATGCTCAGTGAATAGCTATCTAAGAATTGTACACCAAAACTCAAATGAGATACCTTTTCCTTCTCACTAGTATTGCTACGGAGGAAAAAGAAAAAAAAGCAAAACACCAGAAAAACATCAAATGTTGGAGAAGATACAGGGAAATAAAAACTTTTATCTACTGAAGATAGTAATTTAAAATGGTACAGCCATTATCGAAAGCAGTGTGGCACTTTCTGGAAAAAAAAAAAATAAAATAAAACTACCATATGACCCAGCAATATACCTGAAAGACTTGGAAGACTCAGTTCAATTGCAGGACTATTCATTAATAGCCAAAATGTAGAAACTAACAACCATAGCCTCTCCTTCCTTGAAATAAGATTGAATGATGATTGAATACTGTTACATGATACTTTGATCAAAGATTCTATAGCAGAATACTAATCAAAAGAGAGAGAATGCAGAAATTCTAGTTCTCTTGGAATCCAGACTATCTGAAGCCAAGGATGATGGGTGAAATTATTGCCTTCCGATCATGTTTAAACCTTCAATCAAAAATATCCCCTCAATCATTCTTAAAGCCAAACAATAATTTAGATTAACTAGTAAAGAAACTCTTTTCAGCCTTGTGCTTTTTTCCCCTATTAATTTATGGAATCAAAGTTATGACAGTGACACAAAGATTAGGTAGGAAATTTAGGAGCCAGGGAATTCATGGAGGAGGAATCATTTGGAAAAAGAGAATGAGAATGATTACATAGCTGGAAGAGTGTGGGAACTGTTGAATTGGAGTATGTACTCATGAACGTGGTGTTGTGTGTTTTCCAGTTGGAATCAACCCATAGTTGACCCTTAGCAAGTTGTAAATTGTGCCAGAAGAGACTGCCCATCTTTCTACCAGGAAGCAGCTGGTGGATTTGAACCACCTCCTGTCTCTAGATAGGCAACACAACTCCTTACCACTAGGACACTAGTGCTGATGTGTATCCTCTCAATGGATCAACAATAACAAAAATAAAGTATTATTAAAATGAGGAGGAGTAAAGAAAGAATAGAGATTCCCTAGTTGTAGATTGAGGATAGGAAATATTTTGGCTTTTTCCTGCCTTTCACCATCTTCAATTCAGGAAACTCTTAGAAATACGTGAGTACTTTCAAACTTGCATTTATGTGCACCCTAAGTTGAAGTAAGCTAAGAGAAGTACCATGTGCTGATATGTTGCTAAGCACACCTGGAGCATGTTATGACTGTATCTGAACATACAGGCAATCCTATGAGAGAACAAACAAATAGATAAAAGAAAGTGGCCTTAAGAAAAAGGGAGGAAGGCAAAAACAGTAACGAAGAAAAGCTCACGTAAAAATCTTTTTTATGCAGATTGGCATTTTTAGCTTTGTCAGCGTATACATTTAATATAGAAAATGATTAATTATGCCTCTAAAAGAGAGAAATGCACCTCATAGGTAACTGGATTGTAACTTGCAAAAAATCCCAATCTATTCTATGTGTCTGAAATGTTGGTATGTGGATTCCTTAACTTTCTAAATCTTTTGCTTCTCTTAGAAGCAAAACACTCTTAATGCTTTCTCTTAAAACTCTTTAGTGAGGGGGCTCTGGTGGCCTAGTGGCATGAAGCTGCACTGTAATCCCAGAGGTGCGTGGTACGAATCCACCAGATGCTCTGTTGGAGAAGGAGGGACAATCTCTTCCTGAACCAGTCAGACCTGATTTGATGGTATACACACAGAAATAATAAAACGTTTGTGCGGGGAGAAGGGTGCAACAATGAATGAATGGAATTCCAGAATCTCTGTAGGTGTTCATTGAAATGAAAAATAAACAAACTAAATTAAGATAAAAAAAAAACCCCAAAACCAAAACTCTTTAGTGGTGTTTGAAAACAGCTATTAATAACTGTCATCTATATGTCCTCTAATAAGATACATTAACAGTGGCTAAAATGAAGAGAATGAAAGAACCAGTCAAAAGCATATTTTCCCAGTGACTTGTCCTGCACATGGACAAAGATTATTGAAACACAAGTTTTATCAGAGGGCTTTAACCTTCTGCATATAAGTGATAACATTTAGGAAGCACAAGCAGCGGATCAAAAGTTTCCAGAAGGAGCTTTACTTCACTGTACAGTGGTTAACATAGTGCTAGTGTAAACAAATTTTTCCTGCCTTGCTTCTTCTACAAACACTGTCCCAGATTTTAAAAGACAGTCTTTGTGCATCTTTGAAGATTTTCCCCTGCAAACTCACTGTAATATAAATGTCTTTTAAATTGTGAAAGTGATCTTCAGTCTTCTTGTTCCACAAATAGTCCATAGAGCACAGGCATTTCTAATAGGAACAACCTTGACAAAGATAACGCTTTTTGAGTCTCACCAACAGAAACTGTTACTCCAGCTTGACTTTACCAAGTTCTAGTACCTATAATTTTATAGGCAGTACCAGAAAGAATTATCACTAGCTTTTGGCAGACTTGCCCTAAGGGGAGGGGGAAGGTGTTGCCAAGGAGAGAGGGAAGGAGATAAGCTTTCATCTTGATGGAGTCAGAGTGAGTTTGCAGAATGAGAGGAGACTGACCTTGACTTCTTAACACAGATATTTATAATCTCGAAGGAGTGGGTACAGAGTGGGGGAGGGTATCAGAATAATAAATGGATGTACCCTTTAACTGACTGAAATAAACATTTTATATCTAAATTATTTGCTAAGTTCCTTGGGTGGCATTTCATCAAAATTCTTGATCTGTTTCTCCTGTTTTTTCCTCTTGTCTGTTTTTTTTCTCTTCTGGTAAAGAATTTGTCTTCATGCAGATTTTATGAAACCCCTTTCATTCCTGCTTTTACAGGAAGGAGAAGCAGATGGGGCATTAAAAGAAATCAAGAATAGCCCTGGTCCCACAAGAAATGACTCCATTGAGAGGTATGCAAAGAAGGATTAGCAGACCAGCAGAAGGGATGATCTTCTTGTGGCTGGAAGATTAAACTTGTACTGAAAAAGTCAAATTTTACTAATTTATACTAGAAATTCTCAAGACTGTTAGGTTTGGGTGTTATTTAGTGTCATGGCTCAAATTGGCAAAGAGGGAAAATGACATTGGTACCTTTTTAGGTTACATGATGCTCACCACTCTGTTACAAATGTGAAAAGTGAAACCATCCTTCTTCAATTTAAAAATTCATATACATTGTTCTGTGATGCTGGCTGCCATCTCCACAATGTCTTAGCACTCTCCCCATTTCTACCCTCGGTTCCCATTTTTATTTGCCCAAGATTCCCTGCCCCTTCCTACTGTCTCGGTTTGGGGGCATGTTTAAGTCTTTTATAGTTTTTCTCAGGAATACATTCCTTACAAGTATTATTGCTTATTTTATAGGCTAATCTAGAATTTGCCTAATGACTGGTTACCTCCAGGAGTAGCTTCAGTAGAAGGATGACTTAGAACTGTAGTATTAATGATTAGCCCTTTCTCTGTCAGATCAGTAAGTCTGGTCTTTCTTGGAATTTTGAAACTTTGTTTCTTTTTCTTCTTCTAAATGAGCCCACAATAAGGGATTTATCTTTAACTGCTCCACAAATTGCTGTCTGTCAGATACTCCTCTAAATCTGAACATTCAGATCAAGACAGACTAGGAAGAAGGATTGGCCACCCACTTCTGAAATAGCAGGCCTCTGAAAACCCTATGCACAACAGAACACAC